TATACATCGAATTATTAACAATGAACTCAATTAATTATTCATTATTCATTTTGTCAATACTTTTTTTTTTTTTTGATCATTTCTTTGTATAATAATTTTTTACTACATACTATTAACTATACATTTTATGATAAATAAATCTTTTTTTTGATTATTTCAAAATTATCTAAACTTTGGAAATATTGAAAAGTCCTTATTTATATGACATTGATAATTTAATAACAGAAATGTCATTCGCGGTTTTTTATTTTTATGACTCTGGTATTTCACATCATTAATCTGAAATGTCAAATGAGAAGGTTTAATGTATAATTTTAGTTAGCATCGAATTCTATTTCATTACCGAAAATTCTGCCACATAATTCAAATAGTTTATGTATGCACTTTAGTAAAAGTTCTAGAATCATATCTTAAAGATTGCAAAGAGAATTGTATTTGATACTTTAATTCCTAAATTTAAACGAATTCGCATGTCAAAGAGTGGGTATATTGAAAAACTTTTTTTGCTAGGAAGCAAAAACTCACATATGAAATACATTATATAATACAACTGCGACTTAAAATAATTGGTCAGATATGTATAACTTTATTAAACAATATAATGAAAATGATTACATAATAAAATATTTAAAGAATACAATTTAAGAAAATATTAAATTAGAAAAAAGAAAAGAATATTGTTTAGTCACTAAAAGTTATTAAAATCAAATGAATCATTTAAACCAAAAGTATTTTGAAAGAGAGTTTGCGAGTTTTCAGTAACGATATTTGGGGTTGAGTCTTGTGGAAACAAATTTTGTAAATCCAAATTAGCTAAATTTACAGAATTAGGTATAACGATAATTTTAAATCCGGGAATACTAAGTTTAAAGATTTCAGAATTATTCGATTGAGGAGAATTAACTGATGAGTAGTTATTTTGGGATTGAATGTCATCAAGAGGAGAGTTATATTGCGGCACGTGATATGATGTAGTGAACGTAGGATGATGGTATTGAGTTGAAGTACCAAGTTGATTATCCATAAGAGAGGACTCTTCGTAATTGCTAGTTGTGTAAGTTGTCGTATCTGAAGAGTCGCGAGAAATATTAAAGTTATTATTATATGGAACATTTGGGATATATTCCATTTGATTATGTTCTATTTGGTTATATTCCATTTGAGTATGTCCCATTTGGATCACATTTGTTGGTTGTTGTAAATGATTATTAATAATTTCAGTAAAATCCAAATCGGATCCATGAGCCATCGTAAAAACTTTTGCACAATAAAATATTCTGAAGTAAGTTAAAAATGGTTTCTCAAAATATAATAATTTTTCTTCAATAATTGAACCAAATATGTGATACTTTGTATCTTAAGAAATAACTAATGGAATTCGTAGAAGAAAATGATTTGAAGGAGAAAGAAACTTCCAATTTTCAGAACAAAAAAAATAAAATTCTTTTTGTTATTTTTTAAAAATTTGCCAAAGGGTATTGTTTATATAGTATTTTTTAATATCGCAATATTTAACCGGTTTTGTGATCCCTTACTTGAAAAAATTTATAGTAATATATTTTTTTTACATTACATCGCATTTTTCCTTTATATTTAATAACGTAAATTATTTTAATCTATCAATGAATTTATAACTTCCAAAGTGAGTCTTAAAAAAAAAGGCTGTTTAGACTAATCCTATTTAGGTATTCATCCAATTATTTTGTACGTTATCAAATAGAATTGATCCTTTGTACGTCATTCAAATAGAATTGATCCTATTTAGGTATTTCGGATTCTTTTTATCCTAATATCATTCATATATAATTTTTTTTTTTGAGCTAAGAATAGATTAATTTTTTCAGAATTGCAAAGGATCCATAGTCATTATTAATTACAGTAGGCGATCAAAAGTATACGGACACCTTGTTTTACGAAATTATATGATATGAATAACACATGATTTTGAATTTAGGATCATGAGACTTTCCTTTTTTAGTTAATTTTTGAATTAAAATCGCCAAAAACATAAGATTAGGAATCTTGATTTTAAACTTACTGAAAATCTCTGGGCAGATATAAAAACAATTATTTACCCACTTTCTGACATACTTCGCTATCATTTTAACTTGAAAAAAATAATAAAGAATGCACAAAAAAAAATATTTCTTAAGAATATATAAGAAAATTAATCAATATGATGCATGGAAAATTGAAGTAATTACTGCCATAAATTAAATTATTAGCGCCTATATTTTTATGTAATTCAATAAATGAAGATAAAATAAATATATATTTTTAGTTTTATTTTATATTATATGTATGAGAATTTTTTTAATTTGAGAGATGTCCGTATACTTTTGATCGCCTACTGTACGTAAGGTTTATTTATTATTGTAAATAAAAATGTTTATGATATTCCTATTGCTACATTCTAAAAGAAAGAAAGAAAAATTTTTTTCATTCGGCGCCCATAACGTCCTTTTCCCAAAGAAAATATTGAAGTATTTTTTTGCAAAATAATTATATGGTAAAAGAATAATGTCGGAATATAGTTTATCCGGAATAATTGAAAAAATCAATATAGCCCGTGATACTCCCGTGATATATAGTGATAAGTAGATTGAAATTTTTTTTTACACTGAGAACTTCTTGCTAGAAATAAGTTTTATTCATTCCTTTTAGGTCTTTAACAAGGTTTTATACTACTTTAACAAATAATAATGCGAACGTACTTTCTTTGTAATTAAATTTTTCCCTTAATTTTATAAGGAACATTCTAAACAACTATTTCAGAAAGTTGTCCAAATATTTCAATCACACAATTTAATAATATTTGGTGATAATTATCTGTCAAAGAAGTCTGAAAATATCGAGTAATATAAAATATATAAATGACTTCTCTTTCTCATACAAGAAACGAATATTTCTCACGCAAAAAACGATTCTTTCTTTCATACCAAAAACATGTAAAAAAAATGTGAAGTAAGTATAAAGTAATTGTGGAAATGTAGGTACAATGAAGGTTTATTGTTTCCAGAGGAGAAAACAGTTATGTTTCTTCCTTCATTGTAGAAAGTGTTATGTTTCTAATTTTACCTCTACATTTACCTCTACATTTACATCTACATTACACCTTTACATTTTATTTTTCCTACTATGCATTCATGCGCTTACATTTACATTTTGTTTTCAGGTTAGAAAAAATGAAAGATATGTTGTCTAGCTGAACGATCCATGTTTATTGGAGGGGATTTATTTGGAATAAGCAAAGACCAATTAAAAGAATGCATCACTGTGCTTACTGTAATGTTGAAAATTTTCATATTTTAAAAGCTAGTGATAATGGATAAGTAATTTATCAATGGTTAGAGTTCTGTAATATCATGCTAATGATCTATTTTTAAATACAGACTTATATACTTCAAATTAGAAGGTAACACAGGAATATTTTATAATAAAGTCAAAGACCAAGACTTCACCATCAATGATATTAGAGTCAATTTTTTTATCATCAAAATAAGCTAGAACAACTATTTACATTGAATATAGAATTCAAAATAATAAAACTTTTCCTTTAACAACCAATTAATCCATAATCTCCATTACAACTGATTAATCCATAACCTCAAAGAAATATATGAAAAATGGATACATATAAATTTTTGAACATCTGAAAAATAATGATAAATTAAATAATTTGAATCTTATAAAACTTAGTGAAGAACAAATCAATAGGCTATTATTATCATTCAAGTAATTATAACATTATAGTTAAATCTGGTAGTCTGATTAATAACAAATTATTAGTAATACTGATTGGAGTATTCCATTTATAAATAATTGTAAATGGTGAAAATGGCATTGATTTGATTGTACCTACTAATGCAAGTATGTAAATATTATTTGTTTTAGCTATAAGTTTAACTGATTATAAAATTTACCTCCTTTTACAATTATATTAATATTGCAATATATAGATGGATTTATAGTAAAAGGTGTAAAAGGTGGAGTTAAAATAATAATATAATTTTGAGAAAATTAGAATTTTCAATTTAATTATGTAATCAATTTATTATTTTCATAAATTTCAAAGATTTTTAAATTTTGTTTTTATAAATTAAAATAAAATTTTACAATAAATTCATTAAAATATTATTTATTTTTACTTTTATTATTTTATTTTATTACTTTATTAAATTTTTTTTTTTAAACAATAAAAAATCTTAGATCAGATTCAAAATATAAAGCAAAAGATCAGTAAGATATTAAATCTGTAAATACTATTATACAATGTTTATCATTATTTATACATAGTATACAACATATTTTTTTATTTAGATTATTGATAAATTTGAAACTAAAATTGCGATCTATTAATCTATAAATAAACTATTTCAGCCATTTTATAAATATTAAGTTAATAAAAAGAATTTTTTTTTAGATATCTTATAAATATTTATCAATATATAATAAAATAAAAAAATTGTCTTCAAAAATAAAAGTAGAAAGAAAATTAAAATGGATTGAAATTCATTCAAATCAGATCAAATGAAAAATCAATCCATTTTTATTTTCTCTTTTTTTTTGTATTAAATAGTAATTTTTTAAATTACTAGTTTATGTATTGGGATGCAATTTATAATATATAAAAAAAAATGTAATCTATAATTACCAAAATATGTCCTTTTAAATTCATCTAAATCATAATTCTATTTGAAACAAATACAAACTTTGCATCAAATAATGAAAAGAAAAATGGAAAATTATTATATGAAAAACTAATAAGCCATTTATTCAAAATCTGCACCCACTAAAACTTTGACTAATAATAACTGAAGCTATTTATTTCAAAAATTATAGATGATGGATACTTATGATATTATTAATATTAATGATAAATCTTTTACTTCAAAATTTATATCTGATATATTATTTAATATACTTAATATTACAAATGATAATTATTAAAAAACTCATTTGAATTATAAATACCAATTATAGTAGAGGATAGAAATATAAATTTCTATATTTACTATTGGTTGATATTAATCAAAATCAAATTCATACTAATGTTATCAACCAAATATTAATGATATATTTCAAAAATAATATAATTAATAATAATTAATATCTAATAATTTGCTAAATAATTATTGAAAACCAAATGAAGAGACTTTTTGATTTTCATGAAAAGATATATGATTAAATTATAGTTATATTTCAAAAATAAGAAAGAACTATAAATTAAATGCAAACACAAGTTAAATAAATTAAATTTATAACTAAAAAGTTGGAAAGTATTATAAAATAGAAGAAAAAGTCTAAGTGGTAGTATATATATTTATAAACCATAGTTTTTATATTCTATTTAATTTTTATTTATATGATAGCAATTTGTGAAATATAAAGTTAAAAAAATAATAAATGACTGTTTATATCCAAAAAAGAAATACTTTTATATATAAAAAATTATTTAGCAGTAATAACTTTTAAAAAAAATGCAAAAATATGAATAACTAACTAAATAAAACATCTTGTATTTATTTTGTAATGAAGAATTAAAAAAAAGGTAAATTTGGATAGTTTTTATTATAATAATTATTTAGGTTAGTTCATATTATTATTCATATCATAAAAGTTTATTTGGAATAATATGTTGACATATATGATTATATTTAAAAGGTCAATTAGAAAAAGTAGATACATTTACTAGCCAAATAGATTTTACTATATATATAAAAATCAAGTGATAAAGTCTAATGGTTTTAATGAAGATAATAATTGTTACTTTCTCAAATTATTACAAAAGTATTTGGTAAAAATGCAAATAATATTTTTGTAATTAAGGCATATATTCAAAATATATTAGATTTTAAACACTTAAAGATTAAAATAGATGAAGATTATATTATTTTAAAATTAAATCAATATGCTGTAAATATTTTTTTTTTTTTTTTTATTAATTTCTATAGATGCGATTTGTCTTAATATAATTACACCTACTTACATATACTAAACTTATAAAAATAAGAAAAAATATAATATATATAAGAACCAAGCATTATGAAAAAGACTACTTCTCTGAAGAAAAAGTCAACCTGTCACCTAGATGCTTATATCACTATTAAAAACAATGATACAACCAAAAATTTTAGGTGACTGTTAAGATTTACCTAAAAATTTGCCTAATGCAACTTTAATTAAAGCCCGTATTTTTTTTTCTAATCTAGAAACTGACTAGCTACTAAGGTTGCTTGCCTAAACCTCTCCAAAATTCTATGATTAGTTTCTCCAAAATTTTACTATAGTTTTATTATAGTTTCGGCAAGGTTTCAGCAGTTTCGGCATTTATAATAAGTTTCGCCAGATTTTGTTTTTCTCCAAAGTTTTGCCAACTTTTTAATAAGACTTTCATATAGTTTCAGCAAAGTTTTATCATTTCAGCATTTCACCAACTTGCCAAAACCCCTAGTTTTTCCAGCAACTTTACTAGCTACATGTAAATACTATAAGGTGTAGAATATTTAACTTAATGAAAATTCTATCTAAAAGATAAAAACATATAAATCAAATTTTTAATGAATAAAAACTAATAGTTCTGTTTCTATTCTATAACTGCTGGGTACAACTATGCTATTTCTTATTACATAACCTTTTTTTTTCCTCTTGCTTCCATTTCTTTTTAGCAGTTTTAGTTTCTGTCAATTCACTTCTTCATTTAATATACCAAGGATCGATTCTTGACATATCAAACCTAATATTACTGTGTACACATTCATCATGTAGCTCATCATCTATAATCTTCATCAGTTAGGATACGTACAGCCGGTAGCTGTTTTTCTTTAAAATTTTTAATCATAGTGAAGTCTTCTTCATTATAGGTATAGTTGAGGATAATTTCATCATTTAAATTATTAAAATGTTGTCTATTACTGACATCACTATATAACCGCGTTAAATCACTTGATTTAATGTATACTTCTTTACAGTAAATATTGCTTCTTTTATTTTGAATATATAGTAAAATAAGTGGGAGGGTGGTATTAATAAAACATCACTATTATTAAGATCTGCCACTTGCTTTTATTATTTGCTAATCTTCTAACACATCTTTTTATGAGTATTTCAGCTTTTCTAGTACCAGGTTTCAGGTCATCTTCTCTATAATGAGAGTAAATAACTCAATATTATATAGGAGTACTGCCTTCATAATATTTGTAAAGCTTTTTATCTTTATAAGCAAGCTGTTTGACGAAACTTATCCCTCTTTGTGGCAGATAAATTTCCTTCTTTTTTTTATACATTAGATCTTTAAATACTGCATTCTCTAACGGGACTTTAGGTAATTGTTGAATAACCTGTTTTTTACATTTCCAATACACTTTTCTATTTTTTGACATAGTTATAGCACAAATATTACATGGCAATTTGAAACTAAAATACCATGTGATATATCTGACTGAAAACCTAATGTAGGTTGTTATTTCATTATTTCTGGATGACGTGAATTCTAATCATTTGATTAATAATTGATATTTTTCTATCAATAAAGCACGCAGTTTATTGAAGTATTTGGTTCTCATCCCTCGTGATATTAGTAATGCAAGCATTACCGCAATCAGATACTTGAAGATATGAAATCTAACATTCACATTCTTTCTGTTACTAATAACGTCATGTAATTATTTATACTTGTCTATAATTCGTTGATTATTTGTGAACACTTGTAATTGTATGTTATTTTTCCTTAAAGAGTCAAAATCCAGTAATGTATAAGAATTACCCTTATTAGAACTGTATAATCTATTCGTACTACTAAAATGTGTCAGCTTTTCAGCCATAAGGTATGTAACATTGATAGATAATTTCTTTTTCATATCGATCATTATGAGCGAATTTAGCACCAAGAATAAAAAAAAGTTGAAAGATTTGTATAATAAAGTTGCAAAAACTATTATTAACTATTGTTAATAAATATGTTTCTAGTATATTCCTTTTATTCACTCGCCTAAAGCTCTAAAAATGACTCGCATAAACTTGCATTTTTGACTCGTATAATTGTAAATTTTCGTTTAATTATATTCTAACTTAATAAAAAGTACTTTAAAATTAAGGTTTTTAACTTGTAACTTGACTCAACTCGACTCATTAGGAGCTCTACACTCGCCCATATAAGCGACCCAAGCCCTTCTATGCAGTGAAAGAATATTTTTGACATAGCTAGTTTAATACTATTACTACAGCCAGCAAAACAAAAGAAAAAAGCTAATATTTCCTTAAAAAACTCCAGGTCTTTTCTGAATATTGTAGACTAAAAGTCAAGAGTTCTATTTTTGCAAGTAAAAATATATTTTTCTTATGTGGTTCAGTGACAAAGTCACTTTTTTTTAAAATTATTTTTGGGAAATTTTTTAGGTGTAAGATCTACCAGTAAGAGTTTTTTTATATGCTGTAAATATAATATAAATTTAATATTAATATTATATAATATATACTGTATATAGCGAGCCACAGTACCCCAGGTATCTTGCAAAAATCAGGGGTTTGACCCTGTACCTTCAGGTACTAAACAAAGCCTAAAATTCTGTTTTTTGCGAATATCTCACAATCTACCAGTCCAATTTGAACGATCTTTTTTTTATTTTAAAAAGCTCAATAAGAGCTATCAAACAAAAAAAGATGGCTCAAATCTGATCACTAGATCACGAGATAATTGTAAAATAACCCCGGGTACTATACAATTTTATGAAATTTTTCAAGGGAGGTACTATGCATAGGGGTACTATGACCCATGATATACGGTAATATTTTTTTGAAATAATTTATTTATCGCACGTGCGATGCAAATTTTTATGTTTATCATTGCCATTTTAAGGGGGGTGGCGATGTATAAGCAGGTTGATCAACATAAATAATTTACAAAAAAGGAAAGTGGCGATGCATCGCACGTGCGATGAATAAATTTACTCTATTTTTTTATAAATATAATTTTTTAATAGGATAATAAATGTAATAATAAAGATTTTAGTTCAATATCATTTAGATAATTATTAGCTAATAGTAAAATTTATTAGCTATAGTAAAATATAATCATAATATTTCAAATAAACAATAATAAATTTGCTAAATATAATACTAATATAAAAAATACATAAAATCTTATTTGAATTTAAAAAAAAAAATTTATATAGTTTTATATAAATTTATTTTACATGTAAAGTCAGGTTTATATAAAATACATGTTGGGTTCTTAAAATTATGTAAAATAGTATATGTAGATTTGTGCAATATTTATTATTATTATTATTATTATTTAATTTTCTTTAAAATAACCTAATTAAATGCATATGACTAAGTAAATCTATAAGTATGATTTTTGCACATGCACAAAATTTTAAGAATTTTAGGAAATTTGGAAATGTGAGATAAGAAAGAAAATTGACATGAAATTTTGGCTTACTAGATAGCTATATTAGATTCAGATCGGTATCATAATTAATCAAATTTTCTGTAATATGACCTGAATATTTATTTAACAAGGTTTATAATAACAGTTGATTTGTTTACTGAATCCCCCGTGAATTTTTGCCAAGTAAAACAAATATTTTTTTTATTTTTATTATGTTCTTTTCTTTTGATGGGAAATTAGGAAATAAAAAAAATCAATATTTTTTTTTAAGAAAAATCTGTGTAAATTATACATACAGTTATAAAAGATGAATATATATATATTTTTTCCTCTTTTTTTTTTTTAAAAAACGAAAGTGAATGGTAATTATTACAAAATTTTTCCTGTCTAAATTAATTATTAATGTTTATATCATCATAGTAATTACGTACTTATTTATGTCTATCATCATNCTGAATGTACTCTATAAAGTATTCATCACGTTTTGTATTTTTACTTTTTATATTATTATGCATAACCTAATTTTAGAGAGCTCCAGGGATTCTGATTATTTTTTTTTTTTATTTTTGTTAATATAATAAGTGGCTTGGATTGGAAAGAGGAAATTTGAATTTAAAAAAAAAAGTATGACTCAGTTTTTACCCATGTTTAAATTCAGAATACAAAAGATATTAAATCTCAGCCTTTTGTTTTTACTTAGTTGTCTCTCAATCAATTTTTTTTTAATTTGAATAAAAAATCATTAAAAATTTAAGAAATGAAAATTTCATAAAGGTTTCAATATTGTGCTCAGAAATTAACAATCTGCCTGTATATCCAAATAAAAAATTATAAACATAAAAGCATATCCATAATTAATTTATTAAAAACATTTTTTGCTATTTTAAATCAGTTAGTTTTTCAGTAAATTAAAAGTAAAATTGACTCAAAAATCATTAAAATTTAGATAAATTTAACCACTTTAAAATATTTGGATTAATAATTTTTATTTGTATATTTTGAAAATTATTAATCTGTACATTAAATATATTTATAATAACTTTTATATTTATTTTATTTTATGTTTAATTTTGAATTTTAGTTCTTTTAATGGAAATTGGGGGTAAAGGTCAGAGTGCGATCATCATGTTGAATCAATTTCTCAATAATAAAGATTTTTTTTAATGGCATAAACTCAAATCACATTATTCAAGTTTTAATAAATTGCAATTTTGAATGCTTTATGAAATTTATATTTTTTTTACAGTTTAAATTTTTGACGATTTTTTTTTATCAAATTAAAAAATCGATTGAGAGATAACCAAGCAAGATAGAAGGCTGAAATTTAATATACATAAGGTTTATATATTTGCAAATTTTGAAGAAATTCTAATCACTAGTTTTTTATTCTTTACACTTTTTGTAATTCTGATTAAATTCCGATTATTTTTTTCGCGAACTGTAACTCCTGATGAACTTTGTAAAGTAATACATGAGAAAGGGCCAACGGTTAAGAAAAAATGAATAAAAAATGATTTCTTAATATTGCAGTTCATCATGAGGGTGCGCTTCTTTTGACTTTATTCGTATATTGCCTGTAGTCGCATTTATCACAATGCAATGTGCAATGAAAATCTGAATCAGGAAATATTATTATACAAACTAATTACGAGTAATCAAAAGTTAAGAATAGTATTTGCAATTCTTTCAACATCCTTATGTTATTATACTCATGTTGTGGAGGCACGGGTGATAACGTATAAACACCATAGACTTATTCATCATCTAATTGTTGATATAATAGCCTTGTTAATATGTTATTTTAGTGTTAGAATCGATAGATACACCTTTTGGTGTACAAACCTTCCGTAGAGTCGTATTCTTCAAGATGATTATTATATCCTATAGCCTTATCAAGAATTTCTCCAGCTTCATTAACGGCCCAGTGCCAATTGTAATTAAGATCTCGATGTAAAACTGTTGTTAAGTCTGAAAATTCTTCCATAATTCTGGCCGCAACTATAGCTTCCCTAGTAAATATGCAAAATTAAAGTAAAAGTAAAAAGACAAAACAAAAAGACGATTGATCTTACTTTAATGGAGATTCTGCAAGTGATAAATCATATTTGTGCTTGAATCTATCTGGCCAGGTATTGGCCTTATATTCCTCGTAGACAAGAGCCATCGCATATTGGATATCTTCGATGACTGAGGTGCCCGGAATAGATAGAACTTTTTGTCGAGCTTCAGCATATCTCTCGGCACATTTGATAAGATTCTGGCGATGTTCCTGTATTATAAAGGATGAAAGGTTAGATTAAATACCGAGATTTATTTCGCAACCGGAGAAAAATGCTTACTTCATCTTCTTCACTCCATGCTACCTTTTTTATTGGTCTGTTTTCCTGTTTAACTATATTTTAATCAAATAAAATGTCAAGGTCAGTTAATATATTATGAAGTATGAATAGTACCTTGTTTTTTTCCTTGTTTTTTTTGCATTTTCTTTAAGAACGTGAGAAAAGAGATTACACAATTAGGTACACGCAAAAATATTATGTGATAATCATGTAAAGATCTGGCACGTGATCGTAATAACTAGAATGGATATATATATATATATATGGTACATCAATCCCGCCTAATTTTGACGGTAAGATTCTTGATAGACATACATGTATATTATTCTTATTATTAATTCGTCAAGAATGACATTTTTACCGGACGGACATACAGTATTATATAGTCCTTCGGGCTAATAATAATAATAATAATGATGATGATGATAATAATAATGATGATAATAAATATTCGCTACATTTTCATCATTTAACTGATTTTTACGTTAATCTTAATTCTGTTAAAATGTCAAGACGAGCAATCCGCCGATTTATACCTCCTGGTCCGTTGCCGAATCCACGTCGTGTAAGAAGGGATCTTACATATCTTGCTTACGATATATACGAAGTTCCTAATATTCCTGCGGGACATCCCCATTTTGGGAGGAATGGTGGTATGTGAAACAAAAAATATGAATTATAACATGACTAACATATTTTTTATTTAACTATTTATATATAATTATATTTAAGCCTGGTGTAGAAGAGAATTGAGGAGAGAACTTCAAGGTCTTGGTTGGAGATTGAATGTCCAATACTCGATGATTTCAAGATTTATTAGCGTTGATAGAGGCTTATTTCAAGTGCGACAATTACAAACCAGCCCGAACTTATATTGGATGCCATATGGTGTAAGACGTATGCATGTTATGAGAGGGATTCACCGCCATAGCCTTTATTAATTTTATTTCACAGTCAAAGCTCGTGGTCATTAAAGCGGTAGAGTCACGTGATCGATACGATCACGTGACGGTACGGAAGATAACAATTGTAAATTTGTTTTTTTTGTTTAAAATTTACCAAATATATTAAATGATAGTTGAATTTTAAAATATATTTAAGAAACTTAGTTACTGTTCTAAATAAAAAAATGAATGATTATATCAAAAAACTTTTACTTTTTTTTTATGTATTAATTTAAATTACTCAATAAATTAATAAATCTATATTATGATTACAAATATAAAATAATAAATACTTGCAACATCTGCTACTGCTTTTTTTGAAAAAATTCATTCAGATATTGATTCTTCATTATAAATTATAGTGCTTGTAGCGATTAATATTACAATTATTAACCAATGCTAGCAGATGATTGGTAAGGATTTGGCCACGTAGTGGCCAAATCTGTCCAATCAGAATGCAGCATTGGTTAATAATTGTATATTTATCAACGCAAGCACAATAATGATATTATCGTGTGACATTATGATGTTTTATTTAAACTTTTATTAAACTCGAATTAAACTCATAAATTAAGCTTTTATCATTTTTTTTCTTTATCCAATTTCATTTCTCTCCATTTCTGACTCTCTTTTTTACACAAAACCTTTCTATTAATATTTTAAAGATGCAAGATAACAAAGATAAA